CATAGACTCGGGCATCGTGTTTCATCATTGTTCTAATCAGTCGAATACAATAAAAGCACTCGGCCCACTGCCTCGTTCATTCATCAGTTTCCTTGTGTTTAGAAACCCTAATAAAACAGTCGCCTTAGTGTAGCCTTTAAAACTGCTTCGTTTCTCCCAAATGTGATGAAAATTCGTCTGAACTTTTCATCGCTAAGTCTTCCACCAATTTTAATTGGAATGGTACCTCGAAGTTATTAACGGTTATTTATATAGGTTTTTGAAGCGAAATAAGAAAGGTTTGCGAGGCAAGTGTCGACAATTTTTTGCGCGGAAATTACCATTAATTATTACTTGAGACTTTTAGAGCTTTTCTAAGTGAAAGCTTTTGATTGGAAAAACTCTTATTGGACATTTTGGTGTACTGTATCGAAGAGCATTCTTAGTTGTTTTTTCGATTCTCGTCGCCGGTGCGAAAAATAAAGCGCTTCTTTGAGTATTCAGTAACACTTCACTTCAAGACATTGAATGATTTGTTCAGAGTAAACCTTGATTTCTTTGAGAGACACAGCCGGAGCGAAAGCTGCTTTCACAATCCCTTCTCTTTTAAACGTAAGTAATCAGGGAGGTTTTCTCATCCACAGGTATATTCTCATCACAATCAAGAGAGGACTGAGATGATTTATATCTTACTTTGTAGTAATTCTCATCTTGCTTGCCTTGCAGCGTCTGAAAAAAGTAAAAGAAGTTACCTGTGTTACTAAATCTTTGTAGTTCTCAATTTCCACATAGTCTTACAAGTTGCACACTGTAGGCGAAGTATAAAAGGGAGGAAACAAACAAAAAAATACTAAGAGAAAAACATAAAGAAACAAGTAACAAATACTAGCCTGTTAGCAGCAATTTGATTGTTTTGTAGTAGTTTTGTTTTTTCTTGTTTTGGTATTCGAGGCTCGCATTTCGCTTACTATTTGGACTGTGCTTTCAGAAGAAAAAGAAAATTCGTGAACGAGCGACCTCATAAAGGACACTTGGAGTTAGGAAAATACTTTTGTTTATTAGGTAAGTTAGTCTTGCATTATAGCAACACCTTGCGGAGGTCAATGCTTAGAAAAAAATGTGCAGTCTTAAGCCACCAGATCTGTAGGTTCTCTACATCATTTCATTTAGGGATTGGGATTACTTTGTAAACCTTATCGTAATTCGTCGTTTTGTTTTCATTTTAGAGAGGGCGGCGAAGATCCTAGAAGGTAATTTATTAGCTACCTATGACAATGAATCTTAGTAACTTTTACTTTGACAGTGTTTCAAAATTCACGCTTTGCAGTAAACATTAGATATGTATGTATGTTTAATAAAGGCAAATATACTCAGTTAAACGCTCCGTATTTTTTACTTCATTTTCTTAGAGCACATTCTATTGTGTTAGACTGATTGAAGCATCTAAGTATAAACGTATAACAAACCTTGAGCTGTGGTATTTCTTTTTTTATTCCATGCTATCGTAGATCTACGGCATCGTTTTCTATTTGCTTAACATTCAAAGACGATACAGCAGAGATAGATGGTTTATTTAAATCACATCGCAGCCCGAGGGCTGAATTAAGTAACTTTTACAACTTTTAAAAGGACAATAATAATCTATGATAAATCTATGTTAAATATAATGGTAAAAATGTTTAAATTTGTAAAACTTTTTCATCCTCGAACTAAAATTTAAGAAATAATCTGTGTATTATGAGAAGATGCGTTGAATAGCCGGGACATTGCGAGTATGAAAGTATTATTTGCCCTGTTGGTGTGAACGCGCGGTAAAACAAAGGGACGATTCTATCGAAAATTATAAACAACATTATTTTTATGTGGCAGTAATCCATGTAGCTTATGGTTGGGGTCGGCTACTATGGCGTCAAACAGTTTGGTGCATAGCTGACTATGGTGTTCGGTCATTGGCGTTATTCCCAAAACTTCGCAGGCTTTGTTGTAGCTCATGCTGGGCAAAATTATCGATAGTGCCCTTTTCTCGATATGTATGAGCTCGTTCTTAAGGTACTGCGGTAGCGCGTTGTGAAAAACCGGAACTCCGTAGTCTATCGTTGATCGAACACACGAAAGATAGAAAAGAACTAGGTCTGAAGGAGGTAGTCGGGCTCGTTTCAGCTTTACAAGAAAGTATAGTTTTTTGTTGGTTTTCTTTACTAACTCGTTAATGTGGGCGTTCCGAATCGAAGGCCTCAGGGTTCCGGGAAAACGAGATTCTCAACTCTTTGCATTTATATGGATTTAGCACTACCCTGTTCTTACGGGACCATTCGATTAATTCGTCGGTTATACCCTGGGCGTTACTGGTATTTCCCTTTTGAATTACCTAGGAGGCGGTTGTGTCGTCAACAAATATCCACATTAGTGGTGATTTGATATCTAAATCGTTGATCATCAAGACAAATAACCACGGGCCCAGTTTCGTGCCCTGTGGTACTCCAGAGGGAACTGGACCCCACTCGGAAAAGCAGCCCTCGGCTAACTTAATGCGTTGGAATCTGTCGGAAAGGAAATCTATGATCCAATTTACAACACTGCGGGGTATGTCTAGTTTACATAGCTTATCAATTAAAATACTGTGGTCTATAAAATCGAATGCCTTACGACAGTCAAATAACATTGTTCTCACTGTCGCCCCATTTCCGTCCGTCCCAAGGGACCACGCATGGAGCATGCTTATCAGGGCCATGGTGGTTGATGACTTAGAGATCGCCCCGTACTGGTTTCCACGAATCTCGTCCAGAACAGCTGGTTTAACGACATTTTCCACCACGAATTCCTCTGCTACCTTAGAGACACAAGGTGTAAGTGAGATCGGCCTTAAGTCCTTTTTCAGGTCTATCACGAGCTTCTTCTTAGGGAGAGGGGGAACATCGGCCATCTTCTAGATGGTGGGCAACCGCTGCTCACGGTATGATGCATTGAGGATTTGCGTGATGGGGAAGGCCAGGATGTCCGAATACTCCTTCAAAAGCCAATTCGGCACGTTATCTGGCCCGGACGCTTTAAAGAGCGGCGAAAGCTTGGAATAAAAGAGAAATTCAGTTGTCCAATGCCTCAATCGAATCGTCCGCTTGCCTGGTTTCTAAGGCCTATAGAAATTTAGACATAAATTACTTTTTCGCTGTGTGCCCATGTGAGCTGTAATTGGCCCCGGATTTTCACTTACCGTATAATTTATTACTTTTGTTGTTGCAAGGAAGATGAACCTGCTGATTTATCAGACATTTCTCGTGATGACTAACCCTTGCATTTGTTTCTGTTAGCTTTTATTTATGTATACAATACACTCTTGGAGTTAGGAAAGGACTTTATTTTTTTAAATAGGTAAATTAGTCTTGCAATATAGCAACACCTCGCGGGGGTCAATGCTTGGAAAAATTATGCACTCTTAATCCACCAGGTCTGTAAGTTCTATACATAATTTTATTGAGGGATTGGGGTGATCTTGCAAACGATATTGTAATTAGTCATTTTGTAATCAATTTAGAGAGGAGAAAGAGGCGACAAGGTAATTTATTTGTTGACCATTTATTTTGACCGTGTTTCAATATTTACTCTATACACTACACGTTGGATATGTATGTATGTTTGATAATAGAAAATATACTCAAGAATACATTGAGTTCCAATTAAATTTATTTGATAATAGCACATTCTATTGACTTGACTTGATTTAAGCATCGTATTAAAAATTTACAAACATGGCAACAACAAAAAGAAAACAATTTGGAATAACGCGGCTTCATTTAATGCTTAGAAATAAAGTGGAATCGTTCTTCGGCAGCAGGGTGTAGATCTCTGTAATATCCTCCACAGACAGAAGTTAGTTGATTACTTTTTAACGGCTGATATCTGTGTGATCCAACCAGCTATTAACGGTCAAACCTTACCCGATAACGGTCATGGGAAATAATGCTGAGACTGATTAAATAGTATCGTTAGCACAATCAGGTCGTTTCTTAACTTCAGTAGAATCTGACTTAAAAGTAAATTCATTTTTAATTATACACAGGAAGCGCACGTAGTCAATATGAAGCTAATTCTTCATTCTGATTGGCTATCTGAGCGGGATCACCCGCTTTGATCTGACTCAATGAAAAATTTGCTTGGAGCGGAATTAACAAAGATCGTTATTTTCGGACAATGTCGGCGATGGAATTTTTCGTTGCGTTTTTGTGGACCTCAACTTCGTCTCAGTCCATAAGAAAACACATGTCAAGAACTCAGCCACGCTTGGTCATTAACACATATAATCGCTATGTTGCACTAATAACCACTTTTGAATATTTTCAAGTATACATATATATATATATATACATATATGAGAAATATCTCATAACATGACTCTCTGAAGACAGAGAACTAACAACAACAGAAGAGAGAGTTGCATTATATTTAAAGGCAACCTACCCCTCTTCAACTTACATAAGACAGCCGCAGGTTATTATTCCCGCTGACGCATGATTTAAAAATTGCATCCTCAGTCCCTTTGGAAATTTATGCTCGAGGTCCTCAAGCTGTTAAGGCATATAACAAAGCCTTAACAGGGGGAAAGGCCTGCATCAAGAGAATACCAGTGATGTTAATTGGACATGAGCGGACAGGAAAAACTAGTCTAAAAAAAGTCCTTAAAAGGAGAAAATTTCAACGAAGAAGAGGAAAGTACAGTCGGAATAGACACTGACTCTTTGTACTTTAAAGTATCAACAGAGATTTGGAAAAGCGGAAAAGTGAAGGGTGAAGTAGAATTTGAAACAGAAGATCAATTTGAACACTTTGCAACAGCGAAAGTGATCTATGAACTATTAAAGCAACAAAGGGCAAATCCAGCGCAGCCTCGGCAAAAGTTGGATTCTGACTCAGAGTTAGAGCCTCCGGAAAGATCAAGCTCAACTCATGGCCCAGCTAAGCCCTCAAGAAATATCGAATCTTCACATGGAAAATTGCCCGAGGGAGTAGCCAGGCTGGTTGAAAAAATGCTTCAAGAAAATGGAAACCATAAAGATAACATCTACTCAGTTCTGTGGGATTTTGGTGGACAATCATTGTACTACGAAACCCATCCAATTTTCCTTACGGAAAAAGCTATCTATATTTTGGCGTCTGACTTGAGTCGTGATCCAGACGAGAAAGCCATCCCGCCTGTCAAAACAGGACTTTCCGAGAACAAAGTGGACTTTGACTACATTAAGACAAACCTTGATTATCTGGACTTTTGGATGTCATCAATTTCTTCCTTGGTAAGTCCATGTGTGCTAAGCTCCCAAGAGACCGCTCCGAATGTTGTACCAAGGAGGCTTCCCCCAGTATTTCTGGTATGCACCCATGCTGACATGCCGTTTGGTGGATCTAACGCAAGGGAACTTGCTTTAAAAACGTATGGCTTTTTGCAGCGTAAGACCTACAAGGAACATCTGTATAAAGATGTTTTCGTTGTGGATAATACAAAGTCGGGGAGTGAAGAGGAATGTACTGAAGTTAAGCGACTGAGAGAAGAGGTAGTTGCTGTTGCGAAGGAACTGAAGCTGACGAAAGAAGAAATTCCGGTAAAGTGGTTGAGGTATGAAAAGAAGCTTCGCGAAAAGCGTGATAAGTGTATAAAATTTGAAGAAGCCAAGCGTATTGCATCTGAAGACTGCGGAATCCAAGAAGATGACGAGTTTTCCACTTTGTTGAACTTTTTGCATGATCAGAGAATTGTGATTCATTTCAGTGGCTCTCCAGAGTTGGAAAGGATGGTGATATTAGATCCTCAGTGGCTTGTTGATGTCCTCAAAAACGTAATCACTGTAAGGCGTTTTAAACACAAGGAGCATTCTGTCAAAGATCTGTGGCTACAACTTGAAGAAACCGGAATCTTGGATGAAAAGCTCATTGACCATGCTTGAAGAGACTTGCTCGACAACCGAGAAAGTCACGAGAGCCTCATTGCCATCATGGAGAGATTAAGCTTGATTTGCCCCTGGCCGCCATCTAAAGATAGCAAGCAGTACCTTGTACCGTCCATGTTGATGTCACCCCCAACAGATGATGTCCTTAAGCTTCTCGACTCTGTAAACATTCCATCTCTTTTTGTAACATTTGCATCAGGTCGAGTGCCACCTGGTCTATTCTCCCGACTTATCCTGCATTTTCTCCAGTGGTGTGGTGAAGAATGGAAGAGCAAAGTGAGCCCAGAGTTGTTTCATAATTTTGCCATGTTTCGCATTCTTCCAGACCAAGGTATCTCTGTCATTTTTTGGTGCCATCCCTCAGCCATTGAAGTCGCTCTTTACAGCTTAGGCAATGACGAGAAAAGAGTAGATATGTCCCGTGCTGTTCACTGGAAATTGAGGTTAATACTGGAATGCATGCGGAAAGAGTTTCACTGGCTCAACAACGTGAAGTACGATATGTGTGTCTGCTGCCCAGTCTGTTCTCGACCAGGGTCGGTAAAATGCCGCGATCATGACGTGCGTGGATGTGAGTGTCTTCCCTTCTTGTCAGAATCTGATTTGAGACAACGTCAACATTGTAACAGACAAGGACGCAGCCATCTTGGGGATCGCAGGATTCGTGTCGAGCAGTTTGAATGTTGGTTCCTAGGCGGAGAAGAAGGGGAGGGTGCTGGAATATCAACGAATCAGGTACGTTGCCAGTCACATCCTCTTCCTTGGGTTGATAAGACGCCAATACTTTTTAAGTTCAATGATATTTTTATAAAGTGGTTTAAAAGTGGATTTAATTTGGTTTTTTTAGCAGCTGCAAGATCTTCACACAACAAGTCATGGAGGCTCCCTCTGTGCGAAAGGCATATTTTCCATAGAGGGTAAAGGTCGCTATCGTTCATGTCATTATATCATAATAACAATGTCGTACCTAAAGAAAGAGCTAGCAAGATCCCTTCTCGCATAATTTTAGAGTAATTTGCTTACACTTGTTTCTCCTGGAACAGACCTTTAACCAACTCAAAATATTTGGGCGTCAGCAAAATACATTCCATCTACATCATTCCCGAGAGTATCAAAACTTCCATCCAGTCCATTCCACTCAACTCAGGAAGTGATGTTAAGGATATTGTGATTCAGTTTCAAGAAGCTCTGCAGTTGGAACCACCATCTTTGGCCAGTCCAGAGCCTGAGACGAAAAGTATGATTCGTGGCCTCGCCTTGAGAGCTAAATCTGAGAAACGGGAGGATTTGGTGAGACATTTACGAGAGATTACACCTGCTGGTACTACTGGTGAGTTTAAGAAGATGAGATTTTTTCGAACGGGGGAGGGGAAATAGGTTCCTAAGGTATAAAGAATTACCCACACAAGCGTCCTCTCAATGCAACATTAAAATAATGTCAACACGTGCTTGATTTTATTGTGAAGTTGTATTTGCTGTTGATGCCCTTTTGATCTGCTTTAATATATATATATATATTTTGTTTTTGTTTTTGTTTTTGTTTTGAGTATTCTAAAATAAATTCTGCTAGATTTATCTGCTTTTATTGTTTGTTTGTCTCTACAGGACCGTTGTTGAATGAGGATTTGTCAGTTGGTTTCATGCTGCATAAACAATACAAGGATTTAACGTTCTACCTTTCGGGTAGGGAATTAGGCTTGCGTCTGCAGACCCATTTATTCATAAACTAGTTGTAACCTTTGATTGAAAAATAGATTGTCGTACTCTAAAAAGGACTCTCGAAAAAAGTCGGGCATTAACAAGATTCGATTTTGCAGATGCGTTTCCAGAACATATTCTTGTTAGATTAGTTCATAGCGAGCTGCTTTCGTCAGCTCTCGTCAAAACCCTTTCCATAAGGATGAGATGACGATAATTTAGACGAAATTTGGTGGATATCGGGCTCCCAGTAAATTTCAGCAATTTATGCCATTTAACCATACGGTCTACAATAGAGTTTAGTTTAAGGTCAAAGTTCTGTTTTTCAATTGTAACACAGTTTATAAAAGAGCATAATATGTTTTCCTATGCAGGTGGAGACGAGTGGAAAGTGTTGGCAGAAAGGCTAGGTTTCTCCCAAATCGAGATTCGCTTTTTAGACAAGAGAGTTGTGAATCCCTCGGACGTTGTCCTTGGCGCTGCGGGAAAGCATCGCTACCTGAGTGTTGTAGAAATCTATGAAACACTAGTAGACTGCGGGCTACCAGCTATCGCAGATCTAATGTAATTTAATTAGAATATGAACAGCGGACGAAGGTGAGCGAGACAGCAAGAAGCAGAAGCGAAAAGCAAGGTAGTAACCGACTACTTATTAGCAAAACATACATGGAATAGTGTAATTCCTGAAATTTTTAGTCGAGGTTTTAGAGCCTTAATCTGTTTTAGGCAGCATTTTAGCAGTTTTATAGTCACTTGCAACTGCACTTTTATAAAGTAAAAAGAAACAAATCATAGATCGTATCTGAAATTATGCCTTCGCTTGTCTAGTGGTCAGATAACGGGCTTTCTTTAGTTTTCCATTTGGATGTTGTACTAGTTTTTTTTAATATTTGAGTTGTCCTTTTATTGATATCCATATAAAACGTTTGTTACATTGCAAAAAAATAGTACAGGAATTTAATCAAGCTTAAAGGCAGAGCTCCAATTTGTTTTTTATTTGGTTGTTTGTTTTTTGTGCCTTCATTTAATATTTTCGTAGAGGGGTTGGTTGAGGTAGTGTGTGGGGGAAAAATTTTATAGCAGTTAGAGGGCGTAAATTCTTTGTTTGCTCAATATATAGGGGATTTTGTGCATTGATTCATCAGAAAAGTAGCTTATAGGCGGTATAATGAAAAGTGGGTCAAAACTTAAACAAAAACCAAAAAGGGAGGGCACTCAAAAGATTCTAAACCCTAATTAAGCCTGAGTAGTCATCATTTAAATACCAAATTATTTTACATTGTGGCAACTAAGGATATGTTTAAAACAACTGAGATCCTTAGAGCGCCTTGATCTGAATGGTCAAACAGCCTATCGTTTAATGCACCGGTGAAACCATAGAAAATTAAAACTTTTGAACTTATTTTATAAAAGCAATGGTATAGACCGCATTTTCTATCGGTTTACCGGCGTTGGGATGTTGGTACGTTGAGAAAATAAGGGATGTTGGGAGAACACTCGAATAGGTTTTTTATAATCACACGCCTCCGGATCTTGATATACAAACTTATTTATTATTCTCACAAATCCCGCCAGGACTATAACGCCGTTAAACCGATAGAAAGTGTGTGGTCTACTTTTATGAACATAAAGCCAGTATGGTTTGATTCAGAGCAATCATTGTATTTGAAACGGAAGAACTACTACGAAGCCGGGTTGATTTATCTCCATTAACAGAGGTAGCCTTGATTGGGGCCTGGTAAATAGCATGGGGCAGTCTTCCACACACTGGAGTCATGGCCTTTAATCCAGTTTCAAAAAAGTATATTTTCTCTGTTTTGTAGCCAGTTTTATGAAACGCATTAGTAAATCTAATTTGTCATTTCTTGCGAACAAAAAATTTTAACATGATGAGGACATGATGAAATAATACAATTTTGCATTACTTTTATGTCTACATGGCTATGGTTTTGGGGCTAATTTCTTTATTTTTGAGTGTTTCGTGTAATTAAAGCAACAAGAACAACAAATGTTCATTTTATCAGGATATTGTTACAACGTTATAGCAAGGAAGGGAAGCGATCTTCTGCTGAAGAGTTCACATAAATAACATGCTAGACTCGTTTGAAATCTAGTCGTAAGCAGTAAGTGTTTCCTTCTTATTCAGCATCGACGAACTTTCTTGACGCGCGGAGCTCGAATGAAGTAACACGGTTTCCTTGCACATGTAACGTTTCTGTATTTGTATTTAGTTTTCATATTTGCTTGACTAATACACTGTTAGAAAACAATGATTTCGTGGTTAGTAACACGTGAACATTCAGTTGAACATCAGAGTAATCATCCAGATTGCAGTTACCCATTTATACCCTTGGGTGGGCAAAGAAGTTTTGAGAGTGAAGTGCACTGCTGAAAAAACGATGATATTTTGTAGTGACTAATGCACACTGAAATATATTCCATCATCGGTTGTGCATAAATTAGTTTTGAGTGTAACTACTGTAGCACCACATCTTATCTTCCGCTTGACCCATACGTATTCCTTGTATGCCAATGTAAAGCCAAAATAAAATAGTGTGTGTTTTAGCTTATCGTGTGACGGAATGTGAAAATTATAAAATCTTAGTTCGATGGAAGAAAGTGAAAGATGTAGTCGTACATCTTTCCTACTCCATTTCTTCAGATTTCCCTTTTAGCCATGGTTAACCATTCATACTCCTGAATAAAGAAAGACATTATGAGAGAAACGTGTCTCCCACACTACACACTATACTTTATTTCATGCAAATCATTTTGCCATCTCCACCCGCAAATAGCAAAAGCTAGACGAGGCAGGCGGAGAGGAAAGGTTACAGCAGTCATAACAGATAATATAATAATTGTAAGGTAACTAAATAAACTATCTGGATAAATAAGAACTACTGAAAAACAAACAAGCTAAAGTTACAAAATATATAGTCTTACAGAATGATATTACAATCAAATTTACTACTAACAGAACTATCAATTATATACATTGAGTCGAGGATGCAGAATTTGCCATTTTTTGTAGGAGAATGGGCACTTCAACATAATCGTCCTCTGCTTCCATTATCGAGAGCAAAAATTCATGAAAATTTTTCTTAAAAGCTCCTTTGGAGAGTTGACGAAATTCGTTAGGAATTGCGTTCCAAAGTTTAGCTCCAAACCTGGAAAAAGAATCTTGATTTAGATTCAGTCTTGAAGTTTGAACATAATAATTTCCAGACGAAGAAAACCTGGTCTCATGCCTGTGCTTTGAATTAGCTTTAGTGAAGAAATCACAGATGTTAGACGGAGCATTCATGCAGGAAACGTCAAACATTATAGAAGATACTTTTTCAGCATATAACATTTGTAAGGGTAGAATTTTCGAGGAAATAAATAAAGGCACAGCATGGGCTCTAGGTTCAGAAAAGTACATCAAACGAAGGGCCTCGTTTTTGAAGCACGAGGATTTTTTTTTTAAATGGGTTTTGGCAGCTTGACCCCAAGCCGCCAAACCATATGTCAGATGAGGCAAGATCAATGATTGATAAATATTTAAAAGGGTTGTACGTGGGACGAAGTGCCTAAGACGGGCAACAACACCAACAGTTCTGCTTATTTTTAATGCAACATTATTTATTTGAAATTTCCAGCTTAAGTTGCTGTCCAATAGGACGCCAAGATATTTAACATGGTCTTCGCACTGAAGCGTGGTAGGAATTTGAGTACAGTTATCGATCATTTCAATGTTAATCGAGTAGTTCAACTTACGTTGATATGGACGAAAGATAACATAGTTTGACTTTTTAGCATTGAGCGTTAACTTATTTGCATTGAGCCAGTCAGAGACTTTGAGCAGTTCGCTATTGATGGTTTTTTCAAGAGATTTCAAATTAGAGTCAGCATACAACAAGCTCGTGTCATCAGCAAAGAGAAAGAATGACAATTTCGCTGAAGAGTTGTGAATATCGTTAATATAGATTAAGAATAACAGAGGACCAAGCACAGACCCCTGTGGGACACCACATGAGATCATACATTCGGTAGATAAGTTAAAACCCACTTCAGTTACTTGTGAACGACCGAGAAGGTACGAGGCAAACCAAGCATTGATAATTCCTCTGATCCCATAAAAAAACAGAACACAATGAGCTGAACAGGGCAACTGACGCTCTTCACCGCCAACCTCCGCCCCCCCCCCTCACATCTCACGCGGCGCCAAGGTCAGTTAAGGCCCTTCTTGAACTTTCATTGCAGCGTTTAATCATTCCTGGTAAGAAACCAAATTCAAGTTATTGTTTTCTTTACTTATCCTTTTATGTAACTTTTTACGAGTGCTAACTTTATCTTCCCCTTTTTCCTAAATTTCCTTTTTAAATTGATGTAGATAGTTAGTTTTTTCACTTAAACTTAACGAATCTATTTGTTCTTAATGTTCGAAAACCTACCGGTCCCCAAGCTGAGAATATCCAATAATATCCGCGCTCTGTAAATTGAGGGTTGTTCAATACACCCAGACCCCTACGATTCGTCAAAGGCAATCGATTTCTTGTCGCCTGCAGATTGCCTAAAGTGTCTTAAGCATTGAGACCGATCTTCGGTGTCCTTCAGTGAGCCTTCTAAGGCTTCAAGTCTCATAAAGATATTTCGATAATAAAATATAATCATCTTTCACAACCCTAGCTAAATGATTCAGTAAGATTTTTATAGGTTTTTATTATTTTTTAGGGATTGGAATAGGTCGTAAAAGCAGTATATATTTTTCCAGAAGTTACATTGATCAAACTTTCTGTCCAGTTTGACTCGAATACGCAGTTGGGATGCATGAGCCTTTTTGAGTTCGAACTCCATCAAGTCATTTATCCCCATACGGTCTCTGACTGAAGATCATTTGAATTTGCTCATAAGATTCACCCAGTCATTGGAACTTATGATTTTCACGAACTCAGCTAAGTGATATTACGCCATTGTTTCGAGCATTGTTCCTGAAAAAGGTTCACTGCTGAATATATGATAACTTTTGAGACAAATCGTTTATATTAGAAACATTGAGTAAGAATAAAAAATTTATAAAAAGATTTAAATTATAGAAAATTGTTTCAATTATGATTTCCAACCCCGATTTCAATTACACCGAGAGATAAGTAATGTCCCGTTTAAGAGCTAGAACTCAATATCTAGTTTTGAACTTTTTAAACTTAATTCACATGGAACATATTCAATAAAAGGCAATAAATGCATCAGCTCGATAAAAGGCTGAGGTCAATTGGCATAATCAGAAACATCAGAAATCTGTCGTACTTGACGATAAAACTTTGCAATCGTTATTTAGATTTCGTATCTCGGTTCACTTTACCTACAATGACTCGGAGGTTTCTTAACTTTTAAGGGTATGCACGGGCGTGGCTGTATATGATAATTATTAACGATCTTAAATGACCCAATTTCGCATGCGAGGCACTTCGGCAATAAAGAAGTCAATGATGTGTTGGTTAAACCCGTTTTCATGCCATCGGACAATCAACTTCACATGAACAAATGCATTTTCTTCAGTAAAACCTTTCTTTATTTGAGACACTCAACCATGCATCATGATCATTTACAGTCATAAACATACATTTGTTGGATCAATCTCAGTATCTAAGCTACTGCACTCCAAAAACTCCCCAAATAATCAAAATGTTGGTAACTGCTGTTTTGAAGCAATGAACTGTCACAAATAATTTCAAGTGGAATCCGAATGAATCTGAGAGGTAATTCAATAAAAAAAATTGTTTAATTAGAGCTGTTTTTTCACCCTTTAAAGTCCTGAGACTAATGCCCGCGTAGAGGTCAATCATAAGGGAATCAGTCTTTAGTCGGACATTGACTCAACTAAAATCTTGCGAACAAAGTCGTGTATGTTTGGGAAAAAAAAAATTTTTTTCTGAACGACGAAAAGTGTGGGAGAAGATGACCACTTCTTTTTCGGCAAGTTCTGTGTATCAGAGTAAATTCTTTGCATAATTACAACGTGCAATGAGAAAGCCCTATCATTACGATTCGAAGCATTTTTTTCCTACAAGTGTGCATGGGTGATGTCTTATTCTTCAACTTTTCGCTTTTTATTTTCTATGTAAATATTCATTAACTACAAAATGTTCTTGAATTATCAGTGTAAAATTTGTTGGGCATGAATTCTGCACTGTTCATACTCATTATATTTTCAGTTCTTATATGAAGAAGTACATTGACGAAGCCAATAGATTGTTTTTGGGAATACAGCTTTGTTTTGAAATAGCATGGGGCTGTACAGAAATCTCAGCGGCTGGTTGAGTTAGATTTTTCAGGTCTCTTGCTTCTGCAAATTTAACCATCACTGAACTTACCAAACGGCAAGATTTGGGTATAACTCCATGTCTCGTTATACATGTTATTCGTTGATAAAAGAAAACAATTGCGAAAAGAGTAGATTATCCCTTGGGACCAAGGATTTGATTTAGAGTACATTAGGCTACTTTCATTTCATAGTAATCTGCACAATCTAGTACTTTTTTTTTTAGGCTCTAACACTTGCAGCCACTCAAACGTTACGTTTGTTCGAAACCATGTTTCTCGCAGATTTTTTCGTCCCGATCAGTTTTTATTACTCTGTTTGTTTGTAGGTTTGTTTTTCTTTTTATGTCAATTTTTGTGGCGTGTGGAATATCATGACTACGTTTTTTCCCTTTTTTACCCGTCGTTCTTTTCATGATGGCTTTGCACTTGCGAATGGACAATTTTCGTATTTCTATTTTTTTCTTTCTTCCTTTTCTTTTAGTTTAACCTTCCTAGTCTTTTAGCAAGATACTTAATAGATTGATTTCATAAAGCTGCACAAGTAAGATGATCCTGTCATATCAGAATTTAAATGGTTATATTAAGTTTATCGTATTAATCAAATTGACGGCGAGGTAAAAATGCTAATTTCTTAAAAGCTGTCCATGAAGCACGTGACAGTACCGTTTTTCTCAATCTCGCTCGTTATAAATAGACGATAATACATGGGCGCGCGTAAATATAGAATTTCTCTTCGAGCGTTTAACTCGTGTTATGAGTACTTATTGTAAATATAAGAATCTAGAGATTCCCAGACTGCTGAGTCATGCAGACTTGCATACCATAGAACTTTCCTCAAGTCACGCATTTATTAGGTCATACTAGAATAGTTCTTATGTAAGCTTCTGGGATATTCTAGAACACTTTGTGAATATATACAAAGACTCACTTATGTAGAAGTAGGATTAACTGTTGTTGTCAGAGCGACGACTGTTTGAAAGCCATACCGAGAGAGAGTTACTGCAGAAGATTGCTCATTACCAGGAACTTTGGAGACAGCAGTGAGATTGTGCCAGTGGTGAGCTAGGATGTAGACTGTCACAGTATATATGATATACGGTGCTGGGCTTAATTAAGTTTATTAACGATAAGTATCGTACTGCTTTAAGGAGTCGCTTATTGTTAAGAACATTACTCGCTGTTTAATAAAGCAGTTGAGTTTGTGGGATTCGGTAGTGTTTTTCTGTCGGTTAGATTATACCGTGACACTCCATGGCTCACACGTGAGCGCAGCGAACTAGACGTCGAGTTTAAAACGAGAGGAGAAATCTCGTATCTACAAGCAATCATGTATTATTTTGTTTGTCATATAACACAATAGCCTATTACTGAGAGGAATAGTCGACTTTATTAATGAATGAAAATAAAAGGATCGACAATCCCCGAACAAAAATCGTAAAGTGCGTTGGCGAGATGAAAACATGCCTTGAATCATTATAAAAACAAACAGTGGGCCTAGTTTTTAACGTAAAAAATTCGATTGATTTGGTCCTTACCGACACAAGAAATCTTTCAGGTACACGGCCAAAATCAGCTTGCCGCAAATCTTTCAGTTGTCGATTTTCATTCTTAGCCGCGAGAAATGGCATTACCAAAGCTACCGAATACGCAAATTTCAGTTTTTCTTTTCGTATTTTGGTTTTCTTCCCCTTTAAGGAAAGTTTCAACGTCACTATCTGTTAAACCATAAAACAAACTGCTTCGGGACGGTCCAAATTCAACTATCGTCAAACAGCTAGATCGCAATGAACACATTCGATACAATTTACGTCAAACTCTACGTGCTTCGGCGCTAAACTTTATTAAAGATATCTTTTCAAAGATGCTTTGAAAATCGAAGCCGCCTCGAAGGCTACACTGCTGTGATTGATTTTATTCACCTTCGTACTTTCCTACCTTTCCTGGATCTCGGCAGACCAAAACGAAAGAAAAAGCCGTTTTTTTTCCTAGCTAGTGCCAGTAGCAATTTCAGTGATTCGTTTGTCCTTGCTGTAATGCGCACTCGATGAAGATAAAATTCTCCCATAGGAACTGTTTCATTTGGAGAAGAAAAAAGTTGACATTGGCTGCAAGTGGGCTTGGCTAACAGTCACCAGAATTATCATCCAGAGTAGCGTAAAATATATCAAACAAGAAATCATGATCAATTACACGTTTTTTTTTTTAATTAAAAAACATTATCCAGACGCCAAGGCAGCGTATTGAAGATTTTGCTTAAAACCTACCCCCTCCCCCCCTCCCCTGAAAAGACAATGATCATGCGGCCAATCAAATGCGGAAATATCTAAATTTAGTCACTGCAAAAGCTATGGAATTTCTTGCCCTTTTTAATGGCTTAGAAAGGAAAAAGTTCTGATATATTATTTAGGAACCGCTATTTAATGTAAACTTGAGACATTCCCAAATGTCTAGCATCGACCTTACTTCGTTCGTGTTTTGGGATAAGCTGTGACTCCCGAGTATCTACCAACAATGTATTTCGCTAAGAATTTCGTTGTATTTATGCCAATTGTTTTGTTTGTTATCACTCCCTATTGCGATGCTTGGCGAAGGCGTCGTCGACGTCGCTGTACTCCACGAAGCTGCGAAGTTAGTTATTGGTCGTCCTGGAGCACGTGCAGTTCAGACCAGTGCGGGTAGCAATTGTGGGGGAGAGCAATGCCCTGATCTGTTCGAAACACGGCTGTGTCATGGAAGTAAACCGGTGAGCTGTCACTTAAGCTACTGGTCAGAATGGAGCGCTTGCACTACAGTGTGTGGCGTATCAGGGAAACAGACAATTTATTGCCACAGAATAAGAACAGAACAGTGTGGAGGAGTATGTACGTCCACCTTCTATAAAACAAGAGCCTGTCCTCTCACGAGTTGTTTAAACGGAGGAGGTTTAAGAGGTGAAACATGTTTCTGTAAGAAAGGCTTTGGTGGAAATTGCTGCGAGAAAGAAGGTAATATTTACAGATTGGCAACTGTTAAATGTCTGCTAGCTTCCTTATGATCCAGTGGCAAGAAGTATGTCTTACTATATTCATAACCCCTTATTCAATGAAAAATAAATTTAGAAGCACTGCTAGAGCTCGTTTCCGAATACTAATCCGGAAAAAATAACCACAGAAAAGGAAATATTTCAAAAATCATTCCTCAAAATGGATAAATGTTTTTGAAACTAAGACCAAGGTTCAAACTCACACGTATTATTCTCTTGGGCTAACCTAGGATACATAGGTTATTTTGCCTGCTTCAGTTTCACTTTATCGACAGTTTTCATCACCTCGATCATTTTCTTGTCTTTTATAGATTCATCTTTGTCGAGGGGTGGAATTTGCGGAGTAGTCATTGGCTCAGTCGCCGGAGTGTGTTTTTTTATCATCCTATCTATCAAGTTATACAAGTTATACAAGTTATATAAAGAAAAGAAAGAAAATCGAGTCACAATATTTAAGCCAAATTGATGTTTATAGTCTGCCTGGGTCTTGCAAGTAGCCAACTGATATTCCTCTGTCTCTTAAGGGATCCCTAAGGTACCCCTTGTACCGTAAACTGTTTTGAGAAGAGCAGTTAACCATAATATTATTGCTCAGATGATTATGGAAGGAACAAAATATTACCGAGCTCCCAAAATGGCCCTTGCGTGACTTGTTTTTCCTCTTTCTTGTGATAGTTCAAAAGACAGAAGTGAAAGATAGTGCTTCTCATGTAAATGTCACGCATATCAGTTATTGTGGGCTTGCCTAATTATATAATGACTGCATATCAGTTAGTTTTAGCACAGTCATATTGTAGTGAAAATATCTCAGTTTTAATGTGCTGATTACAGCGCAATAATCAACATTGTGTAACGCAATGAAGCTCTACAAAATTACAAACATGAAATTGATATCATGATCGGCACAGAAATTTCCTCTAAAGAGAAAAATTGTAAATACGAATCACTTCTCTCATGCTGAAAAACAAACCGGCTCAATAGAGCAGGGCTCAGAAAATGCTGAACATGAAGGAGGAAGTTCGTCGGCAGTAGCTCCATTTTGCTTTGAAGAGGCTCTGGTTCAATGCAAATAACAAGCTCAGAAGGATTTCCTGAATGAGTTTTTGGATCAGATCTCAACAGTCTGTAAAGCATGTACATCCACAAACAAAGTAAGAATAATTCACTAGTGCACGCAACCTCCCCCGATCGCACCTCCACTCGAGTTTGTAAAGGAAATTGGATTCCTAATATTTGTTTTCTCAGCTTACCTATGACGCTTCAATCTGATCTGAGGGAGAGTAGATCAAGATTTGATACAATTAAGAAAAAAATGTTGATGTGTTGGCTTGCAACAGACCAAAACGATTTGCAAGCATTTCCGGAAATATCTCTGGGGAAGGGTGTTGAGCTAAAACAAGAGAAGATTAAAAGACCAATTACGGTATCTCACTTCAAATTGGAATTTGTTTTGGCAGATCTGGAATTTGGAACGTTGATTTCAGTCACTTAAAGCGCCAGAGCAGAAGACATGTACCCCTTAATGCACTTCGCGTGATTTATATTTAGCAGATAACGAAACCGTACTTGGCCAAAGATAGGAAAAAAAAATGTCTGTTATGGTGGCTGTTAAATAATGACAACACATGAACATAATCAGATCGTAATGAAGATTTATTTAGCTGATCGCATTACAGAGCTCTACAAAATTCTGAAAAGCCACAAGGAATGACATTGATATCATAATATGCCAAAAAACTTCATCACATAAATAATTTGTGAATACAACTCATTTCTTTCCAGCAGAAAAACAAACCAGCTCAATAGAGCAGGGCTCAGAAAATGCTGAATATGGAGGAGGAAGTTCGTCGGCACTAGCTCCATTTTGTTGTGAAGAGGCTCCAGCTTCAACGCGAATAATGATCTCGGAGTAATTACCCGGATGAGTTCTTGTATCCGATCTTAAAAATCTGAAAATTATGTACATCAGCAAGCAGAGTATAAAAAATCCACCGGTGAAACTTCCCCCAATCAAACCTCCGCTTGAATGTGCCATGGAATTGGATTGCAAAAAGTTGTCTTTTCTGCGGCTCACCTCTTACGCTCCAATCTAATCTATTAGGGAGATTAAAGATTAAATGTAGATTTTTATTCAATTAAAGAAGTACCGTGCGGAGTATTATAATTTAACAATTGGCCATTTCCTGAGCTTCGCTTAAGCAACCGGAAATTTTCCCTACGATGCCTATTCCATATTCAGAGTTGAACATCTGAAAACCAATTAAAGAACAACAAAAAAACAGAAACCAACTCAAGACCTCGATATCAAAGCTCAGCATCCAATAAATTCTTAGAGCAGATTTGCTTCTTAGACCGTGTAATCTTGTGCGATTTTAATTGTTTCGTCACTGTGGATGATGAATCACTTGTAGACTTTAGAGTTTCTTTTGTTTCCTCTAAGTGAAAATCTCTTAGGTTTGATTTTGCAACTGCTTATCATACCCTCGTTCACAACATCTCGATAGAACACCGCATGCAAACTGTAAAGTCCGCGAATATTTTATGGAATATTTTGATAAGGCAAATACAAGCCCCGTTTTAGCTTCTAAGAAACGAAATCTTCCTTTCTCAGAACTGAACAACGGATGTCTATCACGGAATAGAAGTTGTCACTGTAATCCATAGGCGAGACATGACGAATAAACGCTGTCACATACGGTTGGATTGTGTTCACAAAACGGATTTCGTTTTTCTATCGATAACGGAGAAGTGAACATCATGATATTCAAATTGCAAACTTTAGGTCTCACTTTGAATTGACCAAAGAAAGGGTTATTAAAAATTGAAAAATTCCATGACCTTCTATGTGTAACCAGTCTCTAGAACTTTGATCAAGAATGTTATTGTGTTGTGGTTTCTGTTTACTTAGTTGTGTTCTCTGTTGTTAATGAAGTCGTTCACTCTTTTGCATAACGTGAACTTGCTTAATCTTTTGCAGCGGATTAGTAAGAAAGGTAAACAAAACGCAAAGATATACTTTAAATATAGTTTAGATTGATAATTAAATCCCTCTTGGTTAAACAAGAGTTAAATATTCGTTAGACTTCAACTCAATATGTCAATTTGATATTATCATTGTTATCAAATAACAATGAAGCTTTAACAAAATATGCCTCAGGTAACAAAATGGCCACCAAAAGTTTTGAATAATACTTGTTTTCAATGTTTTATATAGAAGATGTATAATAATACTTTTTTTCAAAATCAAACATTTCGAGTTTTGTTCCATGTTCTGAGAGTAACTGTTTTGGAATTTACCGAAAAGGAAACTAGTCAAAGGGCATGTTGCGTCTATGAATGCAAACGCTGTTGTCAGTCAATTTTCTATGTCCGGCGTTATGAACAGATTGAGGAGGAGGTGAGAATATGGACTAAGAAATCAGAATTCAACCTTTATTCGATCTCTGAAATCTGAAAGTGCACAAAACTCAACCGAGGATAGAACGAGATATGAAAATAAGTTTCAATTAGATGATAATGTACAGAATTACAGAAACGGAACTTTCCCATTACAGGTAATGATATAGATCTTAACGATTTTAACTGCCCAATTGAATCAACTCTGGAATACTACTCTGCGATATTTGTTTTCTGAATAACATTCAGCAACATCACAAACAGAATTTTGAACCTCGCCACATTTATTTATTCAAGCGATGTATATTTCAAACGAAAGCTGTTTTCCCATGTCAACGAATATATTTACTCATTACATCGATTTTTAGCTAGATTCCACGCTTTAGTTGGAGACATTTCATCAGTCCCTTAGTAAAGACATTTCTTAACATACTTCATACATTTCTTACCTTTTCTAGGAAGAGGCTGGCAATGTAATTCCGTGTCCATACATGAAACAAAGGGTCTCTCAGTCGGTCGGCCAGACCTGCTCTTGATAGTAAGACCTATCCCAAATTTGATCCAGATGACAAGAAAAGGATCACTTATCATAGACCTTCTTGATGTTTTCTACTAGAAAAAGCAAAATGAAATTGAGATCTGGGTAAGTAGAACGACTGCTCCAAACGAAGCCTCCAGTAACGCGATGAGTTTGTCTCGTACAACTAGGAAATGGTATTACTTTCACGCGCCCAGCAAATCAAATGATAACCAGCTGACGAACATGCGCGTCTCAAAATGTCAACAAGACTTCTATTACATCCTAATGAATCTAACACGCAGAGTTGTTAACAACTGAGCAATTAGAATTCGAGCTTCGTCTTTGGAAGGTTTCGTTGCATACATTGTTTGAGACAAATGATTGCCGCCGAGACTGAGCTGTTAATTCCGTGCGTACTTAGTCTCTGGTTTAAGTGGAGCGCTTGCACAACCCCTTGGGGAGTATCAGGAATACAGACCAGTTTTCGTCACAGAACAACTGATGACACGCCACTCACCATTTTCAATCCAAGGTCATTTGTCGGAATTTTTCTTATTATGGCTGTTAAAACACTGAAAAACCCGTATCGATCAGAGACAGTGACGTTCAAACTTTCCTAGAAGGGAAAGAAAACCAAAAAACGACGTTTCTATCTTCAGGAACCTTCGGGTGACATCATAAAGTACGCATATAGGCAGCGGTTTATTTCAAATAAAGCACTACTCAGTGCAGTCAGCAATGATTTTGTTGTTTGCATCAGGAACAGAGGCTAGTCGTTGCCATGACTGTCAACTTCTTCCGTTAAATGTCTGAAAAATGTTGTCATGGTTATTAAGATGAATTTGTCCTGCGATGCTCAGCTCTTGTTAAAACTATCTATGCATTATAATGTTACTGTCCACCCAATGAGATCCGATGTTTCGCAAAAATTGAGAGCAAAAGTATGTTGTTCTTGCTGTCGAACCATGACAATGATGGTTTGTAATAACTCTGCCAAACCAAGTCCTGTGGAAAACATCTTTTTTTTTTTTGGTCTAATTTGCATTGCATGAAATTCGATTGCGTGAACTGGAGTTTCTCTCCCCTCAAACTATGTAACGAATGATCGAAGAAATATAACGGGCTCTGACTAGGTAACTTAAAATAGCTAAGCTCGCCTTCAAAACAAAAAAGAAACATTGCGGCTTTTAATCAGTGGTTACGAAATAGAATTTCCTTTGATGACGACATTTGATGTGAAATTAAAAAATTCTCTATAGATTCTTTGCTGTTTCGAAGTATGAAACTTTGGCCGGTAGTCTTATCAATATTTTGATTAGAAATGCGCAGGACGCTGAAGAAATAATTTCCGAACAGGTAAAAAAGATGTTAACCTGCTTTTTATATACTCAAGCTTCCACTTCCCCTCCCCTCCCCCCTCCCCCCACATTTACAACACTACAGTATGGCTCAGAGAACATGGCCATGAACCACAGAAACAACGAGAAATG